AAACATAAGAATTATTCTAAAACATATTTTTATTTTTGAGAAGAGAAAGGGAAAGTTCCCTTTTCTTTTGAAGGGTGTTTATAAATGCATGGTGGAAGGCTCTTAGGTAAGATATATGGATGTTCAAATACCCAATACATGTTATAACTTATAAGAGGCCTTTTATAGTGTTCCTTAAAATCTTTTCTTTTGTCATTACTGATGTCTAAAGTCTACATTATTTTCTGGTGGTTTAGACTTTCTTACTTTTAATAAAGGAGATTACATAGAATCTTGAGACGTCATTGCTAACCTCATTCTTTTTCTTTAATGACGTAAGAGATTACATTTTTTTGCCTTAGATTCTTTAAAGGAAGATGAGATCCTTTTCACTGTCTGAGGGAGTGATTTCTTTGTCACATGTTGCTTCAGTTTTTCCTTTTACAAACTCTTTTTTTAGCAAAAACCACAATGATTGTCATGCTTTAACAATTTGTATAGTCTATCATGGATGGCTTTGCTAGCTAGGACTAAATTTTCAAAGATTTATTTTCTATTCTACTTTATTTTGAACAAGTTGATACTTGTCATTAATCTTGCTCTAGTGGATACCATTGAAATTTCATTGGTGAAGCCATAAGTCCATGTCTTCTTCATGTCTATCATTCTATCAAAGGTCTGAAATAAAACCTTGATTCTTAGAGCTCTTCTTTCTTACATGAACTCTATTCCATAAAGAGATTCTTCAAATTCTTGAAAATTTTGATCTTCATTTGCTTCTATCTGGATCTTCTTGGACTAAATTCGAATTTGAATTATATGGTGATTAGGAAAATATTGAGACTTCTCCTATTTTAGTGCTGCAAAATAAATGTTGACAAATATTACTCCTTAAACTTTGGTGTTACTCTTGAAGTCTTTTTTACTCCTAGGTGTATAACTTTTAGAAGTTTTGAAATCTCGTCATTATTTTTTGAGAGATAAACACAGTTTACAAAACCATAATGGAATAATTCTTTTATTGCTTTTGGGTTTGCATCTTGTATAAAATTAATTTTGGAATAAATCCTTTCATGGATAGGATAGCAATTCTTAATAGACTTCATTGAATCTACCATTTTATAGACTCTATGATATTGCTATAAATATTCTTCACTCATTTTCATTTTTGACAAAGTGTTTAATATTGTAACTTTCTTCTCTTTCTTTCTTGAGTAATCAAGTCGAAACTTATGGTTTTCAACATTTTAAATAGCTAGCTTTTCAGCTTGAGATACTCATATTTTTGGGGGAGAGTATTTGACATAATAGTTAAATTTCCCTAAACTTTCTGCAAGTAACTTTATTGAAGGATCACCTTGTTCAAAATTTTCTTTTAGCTCTTATTGGAAGCTTTCTTTATCATCTAGATAGATTCTCTAGAGTTGATTTCAACAATAGTAATTACTTTGAAATTCATTAATTTTTCTATGAGCTCTTTGACTTCTTCAAAGGCATCTTGTTCTTTATTTAACAACTCATGGCACTTAATAATTTTTGCTTGGCCTTCATCAATAAGGCTATGACCTTCATCAATTATTTCTTAGCCTTGATCATTTTCTCTTGACTTTCCCTTATTTGGCTATTGCCTTCAATGAGTTTCTTTTGACCTTCAAGACTATGGTTTTTTCCTTTATTTTGGAGTTTCAAGGTCTCATCCATTAGCTCCTTCTCTACTCAAGAAATCTACAAGACAATTATTAGTTCCTTTAACATGTTCAATTTCAAAATCATACTTGGCAATTAATGTTTGCCATGTATTTAATCTTTTATTTTCTAGTGTTAAAGGTAATTTATTAAAAATAAATCCCTTAACTTGAGTATTATCAATTCTAATCTTAAAATGTTTGGGTAATAAGAAGAAACTAAACTTTTTTTATTCCATTTTTAATGGCCAATAATTCCTTTTGATTAGAATGATATTTAGTTTTTATATCTTTAAATGTACTATTAGTATATCTACAAACTTTCTCTTGAGAAATTTTCAAAGCTACTCCCCAATAAAAATCTAAAGAATCATATTCTAAAATTAACTCTTTGCCATCTCTAGGCAGCTATAACCTAGGAAGGTTTCTATATCTCTAACTCGAGATATCAAAGTCTCTAAGTTTTTGATAGACCTTATTTCTTCTTTTATTTCTTTCAAATCTCTAGAATTTTTTACATAATTTATTCTTTTTTCAATAGAATCAAATTCTTGATAAAAGGATTTTTCCATTTCTTTAATTCTTCTTGAAGTATTTTCATAAATGATTTCTATTTTTAGAATCTTATCAATGATAATTATATCTTCTATTCTGATTATGTTTTTACCCAACGTATTGAGTAAATATATGTTAATCTGGTTTATTTGTTCATTATTCATCTTGAGAGAAGTATATTAATAGTATCTAGTAGCATATTTATTCATTCTTTTTTTATCTTTATTTGGTAGTTAAGAGTTCTAACTTTTACTATATCTTCAAGACTTACTCTTGAAACTTTTTATTTTAAACTTACTAAGTTTCTCTCTTCAAATTGAGCTAGTTGCTAAAATTTCATTACAAATTCTAGTTAATCTACCTCTATAAAGCATTTTTTAAGTAATCATATTTTATTAAGATTATAATGCCAAAACTTAAAAGACTACTCTATTTTAACTCTAAGTTAACTTTTTCGTCAAAATTAATGAAAATTTTATATAGTAGACTATTTTGAAATGTTCTTCAAAATTTATAAACTATTTAAAAAGAAAATTATTTTTCAAAATAAAAATAAAATAAAATTGATAGTTAATAGACTAATTATTAAATTAAACTAATTTTTTAGATAAAAGGTGAGTTTTATGATATTGGGCATCATCTCTTGATCAAAAGATGTTAGATTATAAAATATTAAACTCTTTTTTTAATGGTTCAAATGATAATGAATTGTAAAATATAAAAATGATTAAGCAATAATTGCTTAATGTTTATACAAAATTTTCATTTAAGTTATATATAGTATTTAATAATTCTTTTTATGTTATTGAGATATGTAATATTATTTATATTTATTAAATTAATTATATATAAAATTTATATAAAAATTATTGAAAAACTATTTTATAATTTGAATTATATCATATTGTAAGAAATGAAACCTTGGATGAAAGGTGAACTCTTGACATTGGTGGTCATTTCTCATATAGAGATACATGTTTTTTTTGTATAATACAGTTCAAATTGTAATTTACTAAACTCAAAAATTATATCAATATATCTAAAATAAAAATTGTCGAATAATAATTGTATTTAATATTAAAAGATAAATGTGATTTTCAGTACATGTTATAATTTTTTTATACTATTTACGCGTGAAAATCACTAAATATCATTAATCAATAAAACTTATAGAATAGTTTTTTTAAAAATATTTTAATAATTTTATTACTTAAATTAAAAATATAATCTATATTAAAAATCAATTCTTGGATACTAAAATATGTGTAATATAATAATTTAAATCCTAAAACAATTTAACATGATTCAAAGTTTCAAACTACATTTTGAATTTTTCAATAAAATAAAAATCAAACATTTTGACAAAGGTAAAATGTACGCATTGGGACAAAAGAAAGGCCTCGTGAGTACCATTTTTCTTTGAATTTCAGTTTGGCCGTCAGTCTTTTGTTGAAATTGCTGATTTGGCCTTCGTTTTTCAACAGTTATTGCCGACACAGATTGTCCTCTTTCTTTTTTTTGGGAAATGATGTTTATATAATTTTTTTATTTCATTTTATTATATAATTTAATATATCATTAAAATGATTAATTTTTTTAATTTATGTGATACTCATGATATAAAGTGTATCAATTTATTTAATAACACATAAAAATTATATAAAAAAATAAATTAAAAAATTTACCCCTATAGCATTACCTTTTTTTTTTCTTAACATTCTTTTTTTTTTCTTTTAATATCATAATTCGCTTGGTACAATATGTTTGTATTAAAAGAAATGAAAGGGAGCAGAAAAAAAGATAAAAAAAAAACTTCTTTTATTTAATTATTAAGAGAAATTAGAGGAGAGAAGAGAAAACAAATTGTTGTATTTTATTTTTTTAATTTATTTACTTATATAAATAATAGAAAAAACTATCCTACTTTTATTAGTCTTAATCTTAACCTAAACATACAGTTGCTCTTATTTCCTTTTTCCAATTTTTATAAAGGTAAATGATAGTGTGGAATTGTGATTGCTGACCTGGGTATATAACTGCCTAGTTGACATGGACTACTAAGATGCCATATTAGTTGTTAATAAGCTCGATTAGTTGAGGTTAATAGGCAGATGATTGTGTATTCCGAGATTCTGTTGCAGTATAATGCATTTGATACTATTATATAAATATGATGACACTCTCTACATTGTTCCCCAGATAATAACAAATATCTATTTTCTCTCAAATTCTTCCTTTCTCTTTTCTACCTCTCTCTGCTTCTTAAACTTCTCCTTATCTATTTCTTTCTCGACTTTTGTTGCTATCAATTCGTATCAAAACTTGAGATCCTCAAAATTGCAACAATGGCAGAACACAGAAGAATTTTGAGAATGAGATCCGGAACCAGGTCTCAGTTTGTCATAAAGATTTTACCGATTTGTAGAGGAAAGACCGCATAACAATTGGAGTTGATGCAATCTTTTGAGGAACAAATGTATCAGATGATGCAAAAGTTGGAGAATCTTCCAAGCTCCTTAACTAACAGTCCAAGATTGATTAGCGACAACATTTTGGGATCAAGAGAGGCAGCTTACCCCTCGAATGGCACTCAAAATTGCAATGTAAGGCCTCCTACACCTACTATTCCCATGTTGTCGTGAATCCTTTGAAAGCCATGATTAAGTACAAAAAGGTTAATTTTCTTACTTTTGATGGCATGGATAGTGTTAAGGGGTTGTTATTTATAGCTACAAAATTCTTTCAAATCAACAATACACCAAATGTTTATGAAAAAAATTAATACATCGAATGAATTTAAATCATAGACAGTTGGAATGTATATTATGGGGACGCATTGCAATGGTTAAAAGCATATATGAAGAATAGGGATTGGTCACCCTAAGAATAGTGACATTTGAGTGCATTTTGGTGTGGCTACTTGGGCTTAGCTAGGAGTGGAAACCCACCAAGCAAGAGAGGTTTGTGCTTGAGTGCCAAAGGGAGTTTGAATAGATTAGGGCTAAGATGTCTTGCAGTGAAGAATTTTTTGTTGACATGTTTATTAGGGGAGGCTAAAGAGGAGATAAGGTATGCAGTTAATTGTTTGAATCCCAAAACCGTCATTGATGCCTTCTGTGCTACATAGTCAAATGAAACCAACTGTTAAGACAACTTGAATTCCTTACTCAAGAAAACCAAACCTACAATCTGGACTCAACCAAAGCACCACTTAACTACAACCTGACTCTTACCCCACCAAAAAACTGTAAACAAATCTTAGTGCAACCAAAGACACACTAACCCAAGATCAGCAACCTTAGTGAAGAAAAGCAAACCAAAGAACTTCAAAATTGGCTAAAAAGGAACAAGACTTGTATGACTGAATTTCTTCTATTATTTAGAAAATAAGATGGTGAAAAATACATAAACACTGTTGAAATGAAAAGAAGTTACAAACTGTAAAAGAAACTGTCACACCACTAAACAAAATAAACTAATTGTAACTGACACAAACATATTTGATCTCACACGCTTACATAACTGAAAGATGAAGAGCTATTCATGAATAGTAACCCTTCTAGAAAATTACTTTACTAATTTTAACACTCCCCCTTAAAGTGATTTTCTAGAAATAATTCCAAGTTGAGAACGAAGCATCTCAAAGGAGCTTTTGGAAAGTGACTTGGTAAATATGTCAGCAACATTATCTTGACTTCTCACCTCCAATGCACTGATAGTTCCTTCCAGAACCTTCTCTCTAATGAAATGATGCTCCACCTCAATGTGTTTTGTCCTTGCATAACAAACTGGATTGGTGGCAAGCCTAATAGCACTTTGATTATCTCCATAAAGGCTAGTTGAACCTTGAATAGGAGAATCAAGATCCTCAATGAGCCTTTGAAGCCAAACACATTCTTGAGCTGCAAGAGCAGAAGCCTTATATTCTGCTTCAGTAGTTGACAAGGAAACTGAATCTTGTTTCTTACTACACCAAGAAATACCAGTCCCACCATACAAGAAAACATAACCAGATGTTGATTTGCGATCAACCAAATCTCCACCAAAATCAGCATCTGTGAACCCAAGTAAAGAAAAGTTTGCTTCTTTCTTGTAGAACAATCCCATGTCAAGGGTGGTATTGACATACTTCAAAATCTGCTTAACAGCCTCAAGATGTGGCTTTCGAGGTGCTTGCATGAACCTGCTAACAAGACCAACAGAAAATGCAATATCTGGCCTTGTTATGGTCAAATAAATCAAACTGCCAACAAGAACACGATAAGGTTGAGGACTAGACAACAAGGAGCATTCATCACGCCTTAGCCTGGTATTTATGTCAAGTGGAGTAGAGCACTTTTTTCCTTCCTTCAAGTCAAACTTTGCAACAAGCTTTTCTGCATAGTTTCTTTGAGTTACAAAAATTCCATTTTCCAAATTTTCAACCTTTAAACCGAGAAAATGATTTAGCTCTCCTAGATTTTTCATATCAAAACGAATAGATAGCTTTTCTTGTAGTCTTGCAATTTCTTCTTCATCATTTCCTATTATTATCATGTCATCCACATATAGTAGAACTATAACATGCAAGCTGGACTGCTTTTTCACAAATAAACTATGATCAGAATCTGAAGCAAGATAACCACAAAATTGAAAATATTGAGCAATTTTTCCATACCAGGCCCTTGGCGCTTGCTTTAACCCATAAAGAGCTTTCTTGAGTTTGCAACAAAGTCTGGATGAGAATTTGCAAAATAGCCTGGTGGTTGCTCCATGTAAATGTCTTTATCAAGCTCTCCATATAGAAAAGCATTTTTGACATCAAGTTGCCACAATTTCCAATTTTGAGAGGTTGCAAGAGCTAATACTGTACGAACAGAAGTCATCTTGGCAACAGGACTAAAGGTTTCTTCATAATCTTCTCCATACTTTTGAGAAAATCCACGAGCAACCAGCCTTGCTTTATATATGTCTATGCTCCCATCAACCTTATGCTTAATTCTGTACACCCATTTACAAGAAACAAGCTGTACATCCTTGGGTTTTGGAACAAGATCCCAAGTTTCATTTTTAAATAGCGCATTCATTTCCTCGTCCATTGCATCCCATACTTTGACACCTTTTGCCTTTTCAAAGCACAAAGGAACTTCATCATCGGATGGTCCTGCAAAGAAACAAGAGTAAGTGCTAGTAAAATTTTCATCTCGATAGCGGGCTGGTTTAATAATATTCCTTTTTGATCTTTGATTAGCAGCACCATCTTCTTTTTGTTGTTGACCATTTTCACTTGAACTAGAGCTCCCCCTTTCACCATTCTTTTCTTGTGAAGCAGATGAATTTGAATTTGATGTGAAAGGCAAACTTGTAACTTCAAGCTCCAAATCCTTAGTAGAACCATAGTAGGATGAAATTTCATCAAAAACCACATCTCTTGACACAACAAATTTGTGAGAGATAGGATCCATGCATTTCCAGCCCTTTTTCTGTTCATCATAGCCAACAAAAATGCACTTTCTAGCTTTGGCATCAAACTTGTTTCTTTGAGAATCTGGCACATGGACATAACAGATAGAGCCAAAAATTCTGAAGTGCCTAACATTGGGCTTCTCATCAAACATCAACTCATAAGGAGACTTCATGTTGATTGGACTAAGCGGCACCCTATTGATCACATAATCTGCACATTTCATTCCTTCTGCCCATAATTCTTTCGGTAGATTTTTTGCATGTAACCAACTTCTACAAGTTTCCGCAAGATGTCTAATTTTCCTCTCTGCCACTCCATTTTGCGGCGGAGTGTAAGCACAAGAAAGTTCCCTTTTTATCCCTTCACTATGACAAAAGGAATTAAAAGCATCAGAAGTAAATTCACCTCCATTGTCAGTTCAAAGCCGTTTGATTTTCCTTCCAAGAGCTCGTTCAATAGTTTCCTTTAACTCTTGAAATTTGAGGAAAACTTCTTATTTCTCCTTCACAAAATAAACCCAAGTGAATCTTGTAAAATCATCAACAAATATCAACATATAGCGAAAACCAGAATAAGAAGGAGTGGGAGTTGGCCCAAACAAGTCACTATGAATGCAATCCAATGGAGCTTTGCACTAAAAATGGGTTTTTTGCTAAAGTAGAGGGACCAAGTTGGAGTTTTAACCAAAATTAAAAAGTAAGATTTGATTTTCGCAATCAAATTATTATTTGGGGCCTTTGGAATTGGGCTAAATAAAATGACTTGATCCATAAATTCAAGAGTTTAAACCAAACTTGGATTGGAAGGCTCAATTTGAAATAGGAAGAGATTTTCTTGACTTCAAGGGGCAATTATGGAGATTTCACATATATTTTATTTTTTCTAGTTAGGGATACTAATTTTTTAAATAATTAATGTTATCATCTTTCAAAAGTTTCTAACTAATAATAATATTACCTTTCAAATTTGACTATTTAAAAATTAATTAGATATCAATACTAAATTAGTAGATGGATTCTGCCATGAGACTTACATAAATTACTGAAGTTTAGCCTACTAACTTAAAGTTAATTTGGATAATTTGGACAATGCAACAAAAGTGTTAACAAAAATATAGGGGTCTATATTTGTTTATCAAAATAAAGTGTATTCATATAAATACATAGTATGTACACCTTATGTTAGCATCCAACCGGTGTGGGTATTCTTGATCTTTTTGCAAAGTTTTTAATTGTAAAATTGCACATGTGTGTTCTTCTTTTTCTACTTTATGAACACTTTGGTACTTGAAATTAAAATTCATTCATTTTGGTCCATGATTGTAAGCTTTCTTGCAATCTAGTCCTTCAATTTTTAAAAAATCATCACTTAAGTCCAGAATTTTTCTTTACATTTAAGTTCTTTTTAACAAATAATAAAAATTATATAAAATTCATAAAAAAA